ATGAAAAATGCATTAAAACTTTGGGTGTGAAACTTTTCCAAAGAAAAGTGGCAAATTGTTTCCTTCGACAATAGCAAAGTAATAAGGCTTGTTGATGATGACATCTCTTGGTGGTGCCATTGGTCTCATGCAGCATCTGTTCATTGCAATTCCAGTGGCGGCAGCTGCGACCGTTCCAACCTCATCAACTTTTACAACGGCTTTGTGGATTGCTGCCGAGACATACGTTTTTGTGTCGGACATTTTCGAAAAATCAGCAGCACAGCCGAATGGGTCTGTGAGTCCGAGTTTCATCAATTGATCGTTCATTTCAAATGAAGACTCGACACTGAATTTTGGGATTGTCACATTTCTCTTTTCTGGGAACGATTGAATGGTATCCACAACGATGTCTTTAAGTTGTTCAAGGCCCTTTTTCGCCTCAAACTCCTTCATGTTTGTTGGCATAACAAACACCAATTTGTGTTCAAAGCCCTTGTAACAGACGGACACTGTTGTGTAGTCATCCTCAAAACTTGCCGACGAGTCAACATTGACTTTCATCGCAGTCACTTCCCCGGCACCTTCAAACTCCATTTTATTGGGCAATATGTGGAACGGTTTGTCCCACTCTCCCTTGAAGTAAATCGCGTTGATAATGACTGAGACGGTGTCTGGTGAAATGACACCTGGTTGGATAAAGTCTTTTATGACGTCCTTTGTTGCTGTTTGGACAAAGGTGTTAATTTCCTGTCTCACAGCCTCGCAATTCTTTTTAAAGTCACCGTTCTTCATTTGGCACTCCATCTTTGCCACTGCTGCTAAAAATTGGTCTTTAAATTTGAGGTCCATTCCCGCCCAAATCGCGTTGACTATTTCAACACAGGTTTGTTGATTTGGCTCTTTGTGAACAATTTGTCCCATCGTGTTCAAAAATTTCTCCTCCGGGATTGAGGAATACCCAAAAACACTTTCAAGTTGTTTCTTGGTGTTGGCGTCAGAGCCAAGGTACAACATAGCAAAGCAAATGAACATGGAATGTGTAGAGTAAACTACGTCTTCCTTCTGTGCGGATGTGGTGTACCATTCCGCGCAGAGCTTGTAAAGAATTTTTTGGAGTGGGGTGATGACTTGCCAGTCGAGAGACATGTTATATGTTTTTTGTCTGTTTTTATCCGCTTAAATATCGTGTCGTTCTACCATTAAGAATCTCAATTATGAGCGGTTGAGGTTTTGAATAATTGTTCTATCACAATTTTTCCTTGTAAAAAACAAAATTAAAAATGAAACTATTGTTTTTTATTATTTTATATTTTTGATTTTATTAAATTAATTTCAAAATATTAACTTTGTGATAAAATGAGATTTGAATAAATTTAGTTTGGTTTGTTTTATTCAATGGAATTATTTTATTAATTTTAATTGAAAAGGAAATTATGTTAAATACTTTAGTTTTAAATTGTTAAGATAATCTCCTTATATTTTTGTTTAGTGTGAAAAAACGCATCCAAATCGGGTTTATTTTTTTCGGCAATTTTTCAATTTAACCATATATAAATAATAATTAAACCATGTTTCATAGTTTATAATAACATAATTGCAATGAATTATTTCATTATAACCGACATTTTAAATTGTGTTTATAGTTTCAATTTTTAGTTCATTCCAAACTTCAATGTATCTTTATAATATTAATAATAAATTGTAGTTTCAATTTGATTAAATAGTTTAATTTGAAATACTTAATTTCTAATATTTGTAATTATTATTTTATTATTTTTATACAATAAAATGTATTAATACATATAGTTAAATAGTAATAAATATATAATACAGCATTTTTTATAATTTAAAAATAAATTGAATTATATGTTTAAACTGATATGTCTTTAATTTGTATTAATATTTTTGAATAAAGTGGAATTGAATATAAATCAACAATTACGATTTCTTTAATTACATTTGTAGTTGTTTAATAAATGAATGTGATTAAACACTAAAACCTCCCAAGAGAGGGAAGTGTAATAATATTGTTCACTCAGGAGCGGGCATTTTAGCCAATCTAACCTTAATTACCACTCTATATAGAATTATAG